GAGAGAGAAAGAGAGAGAGAAAGAGAGAGAGAAAGAGAAGAGAAGAGAGATAGTTCGGCTAAACATCTGACATTCGAAATAACATTCGGATGAAATGATAGTGAACTAATAGATAAAAAATACTGTTGACATATTTATTAGAGAATCTGATGGCGAATAATTACAAATTTTCAAATACTAAGCAATCTGCAAAAGAAATTATGACACATTAAAATTATCAATTATTGCATAATCATCATTATTTCATATTTGGAACAATTCAATATCCTTTTTTTTTAATTGAATAACAATGCATGAAATAATTCCATAAAAAAATACTGAATATCGCTGAAAATTTTGGAAAATGTTTTCAAAAAAACAGCATAAACTGATTTCCAAGAAGCAGCCTGAAATAGCCTCACATTTCGTACTTTTTATGAAAAACGAAAACTGAAATATCATATTTAGAAGATGAAATTTGAAATAGGAATGCACATGCTCAACATGAAATGTTATTGGCTTTAGAAAATGCATAATTTTGTTTGTTTATTATATATTTCAATTGAGATTATCCTGGAAATCATTTTAAATAATCATTTAAATATTGCATTTTATCACTACCAATTTTGAAACATTCATTGTCGGCTGCATTAAGAAAGGTTCGCTAATTTTGCTGCTTTGGGACATTGTTGACATTTCAGATAGTTAAGAATTAGTTTAATAACTCTTCAAAAGAAAAGATTGCTGATCGATTATATTCCAAATCTTAAATTATCCTTTCGATCGTTAAAAAATATTTGTTTCAAATATAATACATTTTCCGAAGTTTCTTCTGAATTTTTTTCTGAACATAAAAATTTGCTTTCGTTTTTGTTTTCGTATGGTTGCTATATTTTCAATATTAATTAACCTGAACCAATTGCCAATTCACAGTGACAGATTTTAACAAATGCAATCTCAAGCCACTTTATCGAACGATCAATTGAGTGATGAAGACATTTTGCAACTCAATTCAGCGTATTTCTCACTACGACTGGCACTTATATTCCTCATTATAACTGTCATCATTTTTGTCATCATGCAAATCATCAAATTAATCTGCCAAATTAGAAAAATTCGTAGTAAAGCTGAGCAGGTAAATTAACTTCCCTGCATATTATGTAAGCTAATAAAGACTTAATTCTTTTTTTTAAATCAAAATATAGTAAGTTTAGTCGAGTGATTGTTTTGAACTTTTTTCGAACAAATACTTTCAGTGATCGATTCGGAATAAGTAATTGCAAATTCTAAGTTAGATTTATCGATTTTACGTATTTCACGTCCATATTCATCCCTTTAATCTTCCTTTGCAAAACGTTATCAATTCGCTCACATTTAGCCTTTTAACAACAAAACGCCCGAACTTGTCGTACATTCGAATACATCAAAAAGGTTTTTCACATAGTTCTGTACTTTATAAGTTTTCTCCCTATCATTCATCAATCTTTGCATTATCGAAATTAATTCGTAGATTTATAACTCATTTTAAACATTATTTCACAGCTCAAAGATATTCATATAAGATTGAAGATTTATGAAACAAGGCTTAGAAGTAATGCTTGAAATTTAAGTTAACTCATTTTGCAGAAGAAAAAGATCGAAACATTTGTTGCCAAGTAGGGACATGAAAATTCAGTTATCATTGAGAAATGAACCAGAAACACCTGTAGACCGCGAGACTGTTAGCAAGAAAGAAGAGAAGAAAAAAAAGGAACTTCCATCAGTAATCTCTTTATCAAAATATTCTGATTAAGAAAAAAATATGAAATTCGATGAAAACATTTATGAATAAAACAATCTCTGAATGGTCGTGGAATTCGCGAAAGGAAGTATTCGATTAAAGCATAAATACTTTTCCTCAGACACTTTTAAATTTTCAGACTCAAAGTGATACCCGAGCAAAAAACATCGTGCCATGTAATGAAACTCAGAACTTTTCGGATGAATTTTCAATTCCAGGAATCAAATATCCACTCGCACTTTTCGATAGCAAATCTTTCATTTCCATCCTTTTTTTTTTTAAATTTACAAAATTTATTATCTATCATAGATGTATGAGCAAGAGATTGCAAGAATTCTTAGTTTAAAATTCAATAATTAACTTGTATATTTTTGTAGGTTCACAAGATCAATCAATGTCTACATCACTGTCTATCAAGAAGAAACCTACATTCTCGGGCCTAAAGGCTCAGGATTCTTTGATGATTGTCAACAGTGAGATATCATTGCAACCATCTCAGAGCGCTGAAAAAATAAACGAGAAAACTGGATGGAAAGAGAACGAGTCCACTCCTTTGGCGATGAAAATCCACGATTCTGATGATAAGTCTGCTTTCGTGACGGCGAAAGCTCAGGATTCTTTAATGGTTGTCAACGATCTGAAGCCATTACAACCGTCCACTAGTGCTGAACAAACAATCTGGGAAAAGTCGGAAGAATCAAAAATTGCCCGACAAAAAGAAATTGAACTATAAATGACAGACCAAATTTTATGATTATCATTATCATTACTATTACCATCATCCATCACCACTGTTACTATAACCATCGACGTTTTTAATCTGCTGGGCTCTTTTTATGATATTTTATTTGCTCGAAGCTATAAAATATTATGTCATTTACTGTCATTTTTATAATAATTACTCAGTGTTGTTCAATTTAATTATATGAAATCTGGAAATGTAGCATTCACTTGCAATTTCAAATTTCGGAAAAATGAAATAATATTTAGTTAATAAGCCTATATTCGCTATGTAAATGATTCAATCCAATTAATTTATGCTTCAAAATATGTGTCAAACCATCAAAAAACTTTTTCTGCGACAATAGCGGAGAACAAAATGTGGATTAAGCTAAACTTTTAAAGAAATGCTCGGAAAAACAAAAATATCTTTGCAAAGTCGAAATCTTATACTTGACCTATTATAGCTGACTAGAAATCCTTCTTATCTATGCTTCTGTTTTATAGAGAAACAATTTTTCAAATTTCAATCAGAGTTTACAATATATCTAAAATGTCGCCAAAAATTTAAATTCAAGCGAATTTATTTGCAATATTTATGCAGATCATACTAAAGTAATGAACACAAACAAAATGATGGAATGTAATTCGATGAAAAGACCGCAAATCCTGCTATTCACAAATAATATATTAAAGTCAATAGGAAAAATTCAGGATTTCAGCATTTCATTGATAAATGCTAAACAAGTAATTGTCATTAAGAATAAAATACTACCCGCTGAAACATGTCATAAATGAAAAACATCAATTGTGCAAAAAAGTTGCGTAAAAATGCGCTCTGCATATGACAGGCATTCTTGTTTGCAACAAATAGTCACCAGAAAAATCAGTATCTGCAATTTAGAAATCAAAAAGTGAGATTTGATCCTAATACTTCGAATATGAGTTACAAAATAAATGCCCAGAGAGTAGAGTGAGTTTTCCCTTGATTGTCTTAAAAATATAATTATCGAAATTGATGGTTTAAACAAATCGGGAATTTTAGAAAACCAAAAATTAACAAAGAAAAAAAGCAATTTTTTTCTTCGTTAATTTTTGATCCTCGCAAAATTTCAAAAGCCTTGTATTTTTGCTCTGCATTTCAGATTTTTATCCCATAGAAGCAAGAATCTTTTTCGTTCCTTATTTTTTTTGCTCCATGTCAGTATATATTGCAAAAGATCATCTGCTTCTCATACATATTGAGCAGGGCTATTTCCCTTTTGCCCGATCATTTTTTTCGTCTCTACTCAAGGAATAATATATCTGATTACATATCTGTTACGTTCAATTTCATTTCAATGGGATGATTAAAAATACATTAGTGAAAGCAATATCGTATAAAATTAAAACAACCCACATTGACATGTACATAAAATGGAATGAACTCAGCAAATATAAACATGCATCAGCCAGAATTCTGCTCCGTAAAAATTTTGGCAATAGACTTTATGAAACTAAAATGATCTCGTAGAAAAGCGATTTTTTTTTTCTTCTCCCCATAAATTAAAAAGATCCAGAACCCACGTAATAATGCAATTTTAGAAAACGACCGGTGCAGAAAAAAAAATCTAAATTAATTAACTTGCAGTAAGATCTGGATCATCTCCTGTATAAGAACCTGCTGTTGAGCCTGAATTCGGTCGCAGTAAATCGGTACTATCACCACCAAGACTTCGAGCACCCCGTCCAACGCTGTCTGTTTCACCTACAACAACAAAGTTATTAAGTCAGATCAAAAATGACAAATTAAAAAAATTATATTTTCAGAAAAAAACAATTAAAACTGCCCCGATTCTGTCATTGGACAAGCAGGATTGAGTATACTACAAAGAGCCTGTACAGAGCCATAAAATCATTTTAGTTCATTTATTCTGAGTTATAATTCAGAAAACTTTCCTTTATCCACCACTATGTATGACTATTCTTTTCAACTTTTTTATATTCCATATTTTACTCTAGCACTACACACATCTTGACATCAGATAATCAAGCTAAATATTCTGATATTACAAATTCCAATAAAACGAAACGTATACTTACTTCCAAAACGTGAAGTACTTGCTCGGTTGAGTCCAGAGCGTCGTGCAAGTGCTGCTAAGCTCTTTAGCTGTGCATTTTCTCGAGTTAATGTTTCATTGGCTTCATTCAGATCATCAATATTTCTTTGCAATTGTCGACATTTCGTTCGTTCGCGGCAGGCTTCCTCTTCTAGATCTTCGATTTGTCGACGCATCTGACGATGCCGTGCCATCGCGCGATCTGCCTAAAATAATTTTGTCTTTAAAAATTGACAAAAACTTCGAATTTTGAAAAAGAAGAGCAACTATTCGAAATTTATAACAGATTAAATTTATTAAGTAAATAGACTAAGCTCACGATTTCCTTCAATTGCTCTATCTTTCGCTTCTCTTCTTCGTTCGTCATCAGTGTATCATTCAATTTCTTCTCCATACGTCGAATCTGTAATATCTGCTGTTTAAAAACATAACAAATTCGAAGCGATATTTAGAAAATGACTCGTAGAAATTGAATAACACATCCAACGAGTAAAAAAAGCATCACGCAGATTCAAATCCAATTTCAAAGTACTATTGTGGTATTGTTCATCACTACATTAGGTTTCAGTATGAAAAATAAAGATGCATAAAACTATGACTCAGCAAAATAATAAAGCTATCCAATTCAGAAATAATGCGATAAGAGAAAACAGGGTTCAACAAATCTTTGTCCAAGAGGAATGTACAAGTCTTGAGTAAATAAGCACTATCACCAGGAAACGAACTACGCTTAATGATTGTACGATTTTAATAGTAACAGTTTCAAAAGAAGTTTAAAAATAACCTGTCGATTAGCTGTATTTCGTTCTTGTTCCATTTGAGTACACTGTTCATTCGCTGCTTGAAGCTTCGCTTCTAGCGCAGCAATCTGTCCTCGATTACGTGTACGCGTGTCACTTTCCATTTGCTCTAACTAAAATTTAAATTTTGTGGGACCAATTAAATTTTCGGTAACTATATTTTGGAAAGGCAGTTAATAAAAAACTTACTGTCACTTTTAGATCTCTACACTGTTTTTCAAAGTTCTGCTTATCTGCTTCTAACTTTTCGCATAATGAACGTTCAGCTGCCAATTCCGTCGTCAGTGTTTCCAGCTGCAAACTTTCCTCCAAACTTAATTTATAAATCAGTAGTATAATGTCACAGAATCTATTAGTCAGATAACTATTCAATTCATTATCGTCAGATTTGGACAATTTCATAAAATAATTACCTGAATTTGGGCTTTCTTGAGTTTGTCGTTGCCTAATTCAGTGTTACTCTGTTCCTCTTCAAGCAGTTCTTCCAACTCATGAATTTTCATTTCCAATTTTTTCTTTTCTTCACCATTCATTAAGCCACTTTTAACATTAAGCTCTTCCACAGCATCATCCTTTTCTCTCTCTGCACGGCGCTTATCTGCGGCTAATTGCATATTTGTTTCCGCTGCGCTCGCCAATTCATTTTCCAATGATTTCAACCTTCAAAAAAAGCCAACAATCCATAAACTTAAAACAGCAGAAAGGAAACAATATTGAAACTACTAAAAGTGTTTGGCTTACAACAAATGCAATGTTCAGAAATCAGGATTTAGGCAAGAGTTCCTCATCTCCCGTCATACAAATGAATTCCTACCTTTTCTCCATATCCTGTGTCCGCAGCAATGCTGTATCTTTGACCTCTTTCAATTCTTCCACTTCCAATTGCAAATCTTTCAAATGTAAATTGCATTTCCGAAGCTGCCGTGAAAATTCCTCTTTTTGAGCAGTAATAACTTCCACCTGTTCTAAAGAATGATGCAGATCGACTTCCAATTTGCGTTTTTGTTGCAACAAAATTGATCTATTACGACGCTCCGATTCCAATTCACCTTCCAAGTCACCAAGCTGGTAATAAATATTTTCAGTAATTAAAACTGAATACAAACTTTATTTGACTTACCGAACCTAAGTATAAATTCTATCCTGTGTAGATATTAAGTAGCTCAAATCAATCGTTTTTCTAATTTTCATATCCTTTTGTTTTAAATCGTTTCCCAAATACCTTTCGTAGCATCATTTGACGCCGTTCGTCGTCATCTCGCTCTTTATCATTGCGAACTTTATCTAGTTCAGCATTTGTTGCTTGTAGCGTCACATCTAACCGTAGTTTTGCATCTTCGGTAAGCTGCAAATTATCTTCCAGTTCAATGATCGTTTCTTTTGCGTTTGCTAATTCGGTCTCTAACTGACGCTTCATTCGGTCAAGCTCCAAAACACTGCGACCAGTATCATCTTTCATGGTAACCTGGAATGTGTGCATGGTAACGCGCGATCACATGCACTGTTGAAAGATTTAAATGAATATTGTGGCCAGAAAGTCATCTGGTCCATTTTAGATCAGCAGCAAAGTCATATTAATTTCAGCGAACATCATTATATAGGATGAAATATTCATAAATAAAAATAATGCATAAATGAAAAATTTCTTTATTACTTAAGTACACAAGAAAACAATGAAAATTTACAGCATTATCAAGGTCCAATTGCAGCGCATTTCGAATGTTTTCTAATTCGGCAATTCGACTTTTGAGATTGTCAGTTTCCTTTGCTATCACTAGTGCGTTTGATTCATGATCACGAAGCTTTAAGCATAAAAATTTTTAAATCCTTTGAGAGATAAAATTGTAACCTAAAAATATTGTATCAGAAGATATTTACCACACTTAACCGGTCGCTAATAACTACCTCTAGAAATGCAACTGAAACTATTTCGAATTTGACTATCTATTGCTATTTACATATTTGTTTGAGTTGTTTCTCAATTCTTGTAACCGTGAATGGAATTGAAATTTTCTTATCGCTTGCTTCTTTCTTAGATCACGCTATAGGATAAACCATTTAAAAAGAACGATTATATACACTTGCCGAGCACTACCAGGAAAGTCCTCTAAATCACTAAATCTTTGGCAGAATATTTTTTGATGGTACCTCTTGGGCAAGCCTATCCCGTTCTATGCTAACTTTTGCCAAATTTGACTTTTCTTCTTCGAGCACTTGATCAAATTTCCGCTGTTTTTTCTCCATTTCACGCACACTGAACCGTAGTTTATTCAGCTCGGTTAGCATATCCTCATTCTAAAAAAAATAGGCTTCAAATGCAATAGATAGAAATTTTGACTTTCATACATAGAAATTTTAACTTTCAAAAATAAATACGAAACTTGAATCCATTTTCCCTCCTCCAAATGTAAAGTCTCACCAAATAATGTTCAAGAAAGCAAAAAGACATTTTCATTCCAAGGAGAATAATGAATGTGGTACCGACTAAACTGTTCAGAGTAATTTGACTGTCTATCAAAGCTAAAAAGATTTCGGTTCACTCTTATCAATAATCTTTTATTCGGAATCTTTTTGGAATTCCAATATCATAGTTTTTTTAGAATTCCAATATATACATATTCATGGCGGAAACAGTTGAAAATGGACCTTTTGAATTTTATAAAAGGTATTGTCATCATTTCGCAGGATGATAAAATTTTCTTAACCCTTCACATTTGAAATTGATTTAGAGTCCAAATCGAACATAAGAGACATTTTAAATATAGTGTACAATTCAAAAAAGGCATCAACTTATTTTTCAGTTATAATACAATCCGATATTGACAACTAACTCATGTACGTTTCATAAATAACTGCCCTAAGTTCCGTAACTTAAAGAAATAAAAATTTCGTGCATGCGATATGTCAGTCATTATCATGATGAAAGTAGGCGCAATGATAAATTAAGAAATCTAAGTTGACGTTAAGGTATCCAAAAATCTTGGAATTGATGAAGAATACTAGTATGCCATGAAAGGTCATGAACAGCTTACCTCCTGCATTAATTTTTCTTTTGCCTTCTCACTCCGAGCACGAGCATATTCAGTTTGCTCCAGCTCCTTTTTATAAATTTCCACTTCTTTTATCAATTTTTTACGCAAATCTTCTGCTTGTAGAACTAATTTTTCATCATTTTTCTTTTCTGCATCAATCAGCTGCTGCTTCAGAGAATTTATCTCCTGCAGATTTATGTGACATTTATTCACAAACAAAATGACAAGAGTAATGCAGAAGAAGCTTAACTACTCCTTAAATAATTAAAATTTTCGAAATTCACTAATGGCATCAAATGACTCTTGCAACTTTTAGTCTTCAGCCTCCTTCATGTTTATAATTTGACTATTCAAAGACTAACTACCATATAGTTGTAAACTACAGAGTCTATTAGATTCCCAAATAAAGTGTAGCAGACCTTTTCACTCTTCTGAATGGTAAATTCATTATGTTCTTTGTTTTCTTGCAAGTTTTCTACTTTATCATCTTGCGTTCGTAGTTTTTCTCGAAGTGATTCATTTTGAGATTTTTCCAGATTGATTGCATCATTCAAATCAGTGATCTGAAAAAAACCGGACATTTTACCTTTATTACCCTAAACTAACGACACCTGATTACAACAGTATCTCTGCTTCAAGGTATCACATAATTAAAAGGATTGGAAAGACTGACCATAGAATGGGGAGGAAAAATTATTCGGATACTTGTTATTCAAATATTATTCAGATTGAAAAAGTTTGACTAAAATAATAATTTTAATATAAAAATAACCTGAGCTTCTGCAGCTGCCACTTTCTTATGCAAAACTAGTATAACATTTTCATTGCTTTCCAATTCCTGAGTAAGTCTTTCAACCTCTGATTGTACCTAAATATATGGAAGTAGAAAATTTCAATCGTTATTGAACTGTCGAAAGCAACGGTATAAAATATGCATCCTCAAAATATGCATTTTTTTATATTTGATTAAAATTGTATTACAGACTAAGTAGAAAATGCGCAACTGGATATTTACAGCACTCCTTTCCAACTTCCACATTTAATAAATATATATGCTCAAACATAAAAAATCATGCATAGAACCACCAAACCACTATTTCACGAATTATTTGTTATCAATACTCATCTTCATTCTATAAAATTTTTATTTCACAGAAACTTAATCATTCATCTATAAAAAAAGAAACACGAAAATCAGTAATTAAAATCTATATTTCCCACAGAAACTTAATCATTCATCTATAAAAAAAATACAAAAATCAGTAAATTATGCATATCATGTAATCAACTTAAAAGCAAATACATACGTCATTGTACAATATATATGATTGTGTTCTCATCCGCTGTTCTCTCCAACGATCTACAGCAGTTTTAGCAAATGTTGATTTATAAAAGATTCACTCACTTTTGTCAAAGCAGATTTTAACTCCGTAGCATTCTTTTCTGCTTCCCGAGCTTTCATTTGCCATTCATTTAATAAATTCTCAGCATTTTTTCTTTTCCGTTCATTTTCCACGTTAGCGGAATGATTCCGCTGAATCGCAACGATCTTTTCTTGCAATTCATTTTCCATGCGATTCTTTGTTTTAATTTCCTAAAATATACAATAGCGGAACATCTTAAATGTCCCTAAACTCGTATTTTTTATATTACTGAAGAATTTGAGAAATGCCCACATAAATTTAAAATTCGGAATTAAAACACAGAGGTATATGTCTTTTAGAAAAGAATTCTACAACAGAATACAATTGCAGAGGAAACCTGTTGCATTTGTTTTTTTAATTGCTCATTCTCGATTCTAACAGAATTCAATTGTTGCAAATGCTTAGCCTTCAATTCTGCAACATTTTGTTCGTGCTGTGCTGCTGTTTCTTCAAGTTCTTTCTGCAAATTTTGAAAATGACTTGCTACAGTAGATTGCAAATTCCCATCAAATTTCATAAATCGATCTAGTTATCACGCAATCGTTTCCATTCAAAATGAAATTTTTTGACCATACTTTGATCGATAAGTACTGCTTCTCACGTTCAGTTCGTAATTCAACGTTAGCTTGTGTTTTGTCTTGTGATTCCATCAGCTCTTGTTTCATTGCTTCTAACTCTTCCAAACAATCCCGTTTTCCCTTTTCTGACTTTGTCCTGCAAAAAATGTAAGAAAGAAATTTAAATTCCATTCCATTTTTGAACCGAAATTTTATGAATTCATGAAAGGGAGACAAAATCCTAGCAACCTGAACAATCTTATTTCAATCGCACCCAACAAGTTCTTTTTTCTTTTGTAAAACAAATCTCGAGCCCCAAAAATTGGTTCTTACCTTAGAGTTTTTTCGTTCTCTAAATCTTCTTTCACTTCTTGCAATTCTAACATTAATTCCTTTGTCTGCTTCATCAAATTTTGTTTTTGCGATTGTTCCTCATCACAGCTAGATAGCAGCAAGATAAAGAATTGAAGACACCACAGAAAAAAAGACATTACAGCACAGATAAATATGACAAATATAATCATTAAATAACCAAAGCCTGAATTACTTAACAGAACTAGAAATCTCAAATTGAAATTAATGAACAGAATCAAAAAAGAGAAATGAATAAATCTGAATAAATTACGTATCATAACAACATGGAATAGGAAAATGACAGATGAACTACTTATGAAGCTTCCATTTATTGGAAACAAAACTTGAATAGTAGTTTGGTCAAATATATAAACAAATAGGGATACCGTGTGAGAATTGCAATTAATTCCTCATCTTTCTTTTGAAGTTGAGCACTCAGTTCGTTCAGCTTTTTCAGTAGTTCCTCACTCCCATCCCGAACATCTCGCATTTCTGTGGTAAGTTTTTGGTTTGCTGCTTCTGCCATTCCAATGAGCTAAATTGTAAAAAAATTGCATACAAAGAGACAAGTTAAGTTCTACAGAAATGAAAAGTCAGAAATTTTTTTTTTCGAGGTCAATCAGAAACCAATAACAATAGAAAATAGAGAGAGAGCTTTTGGTTACTGCATTTATTAATCATTTTGTTAACCTTCTTAAGCTCTTGATTCTCCTGTTCATAATCTGTTATTTTTGCTTCTAATTTCGCTCTTAATTTGACATTCTGTCGATTTTGCTCTTCTTCGACAACAATTTTTTGAGTAGCAGCTGCAAGTCTTCCCTCAAGCAGTGCTTTTTCCTTCATCATCTGAAAAAAAAATGAATAGACAGAGTCTGCGAGATTTCCGAGATTTCCTAAAACTTCAAATTAAAAATCATGTTAACCTTTTCATTTATTTCAAAAAATTGATCCTTCTCTGTGCCAACATTTTTCAACTTTTGATCAATTGAGGCATAAGATAATTGTAAATGTTCGTATTTTTCATTTTCCACCCGAAGTTGGTCTCTAAGAATTGCTATATTATCCTGAAATAGGTCTTAGAAATATTAAACAAATTTATGATCAGCGAATAAAATTCTCAAAGGAGGAAAACCGAAAGGAGCGTGGAGGTTTAACCTGCAACTTACTGTACGCTTCAAAACTCAATCAACCATTTTTGGAAAAGAATTCTGATAAAACACTGATATATAAAGGCAATGAAAAATTCACATCAAAAAATTTAGAGACTAAAACAGAAAGATACCTCTAACTTTTTACATTCCGCAGAAACCGAAATACATTCAGCTTCCTTTTCCTCAAACTTGTGCCTGAAACTTTCGACCTCTTTTTCCAGTTGCATTTTCATCGAGAACAGTTGATCTTTCACATCTTCAATTTCCGTTTTCTCTACGCTTTCTTCTTCCAGTAATTTTTGTAATGCCGCACGATCATTCGTTAACTAAAAAATTTTAAAAATAAAAAGTTATTTTTTACTGATCTGGACTCTCAAGAAGCTTCAAGAAAACTTGTAAAACTCTTCATTATGCAGGAACATGACGAGAAATGTGAATACACGTTTTGTATATTCCCATCAAAAAAACCTGATCTCTCCTTCCACCCAAATAACATAAAACTAAAAACCCAACCTGTTCAATTCGAGTCATATAATCCGACAAAGTATATTCTTTTTGCAGCAAAGTTTCCCGTAGAGATTTCAATTCTGATTCCTTGCTAGCTATAGCTTCTTCACTTGCAGTAACTTCCAAAAGAGGTTTAACCTTAAAAATTCAATTGATCACCAATTAGATGTCTGAAAAGATGACCAAAATTTTGTTTACCAACTGAAGAGATTAATTTCACATTTTTTTTTAAAATTAGTGTCTGTTAACAGAGAGAGCAAGATTTCCCACTATATTCCCTATCAAATTTTAAGTACTGCTATCCAAAAGCAAAGAGACCTTAGCAAACAATCTCCACCAATTCCAATCTTTCAGACGTGACCAAGCTAAACCATTTCTCTGGATTATTCGAATCGCAGAAACGTGCTGCAAAAGTTTCTTGAAAGAACGACGAGAGAGATAACCACGGCAGTAGGTTTGAAACTGAATTACAAAACGTTGCAATTCTTTATCACGCATTTCTTCTAATGCAGCGATAACACCTGATCGGAAAAATACTTTCGATTGACCGATACGAAAGAGATTTGCATCCACTTCTAGTGCAGTGAGAAGTCGCCTGAAGAAAGTTATGTAATTAATTCATAATAACATGAATTTTCAGTATTTCCCATTACTACCGAATTTATCTGATGTAATTGAAATGATGAAGAAAAGAACAGGCTTTAAGCATGTACCACTTCTATCCTGACACAAATTCATACCTAACGGTTTCCTTTCCATCCAAGAAACCAGAAGGAATAATTCCTCGACCAACAAGCAATTCATATCTTCGACGAAAGTCGTGGAATGGCATTCTGTTTGGATAGCCTTGTCGACAAATACGGATACCTTCCAAAACACCGTTACAACGAAGTTGGTCTAATACTAACAGTCCATTAATCACACCAGCCTGAAAAATAAAGTTATTTCAAGCTTGATTACAAATGCATTTCTTTGAACAAAGCCATGGAGAGGCACTATCCAAGCACTAGAAATATGAACAGTTCCACATTGACCTTAAAGTTTTTATTTAATAATGCAACAACAGGATTTAATCAATTTTAATAAAAGAACCAGAAATCAACTTTTTGAACATCTGAGTATATGTCAATTTGCATAGAAATTTTAAATGTTCTACCTTCTTTTCATGATTTGGAATAATACATCGAACAAAATGAGGAGAAGTATTCTGCAGTGTTTTCATTAATCGTGATAACTGCTCTTTGTATGTTTGCCCAACTGTGCGAAACATTCCTCGCTTAGTTCGTGCACCAAATACATTATCAGTTTGATCAGTCATTCCCAGGCTTGCAAATTCCGCTACAAATATAAAATAATACTAGAATGGAAACGGATTGTTGGATTTTAAAAATAAATTTACAATATAAATTGACTCATTCCCATAAATGAAAAAACAGTATAGTAATAGTCACTCATAGTAATCATTTTGAATGCTTTTCGAAACTCAGAAGAATCAAAAAGTAATTTGTTTGAAAGACTCAGAAACGACAAACCATTCTTCCACATCTCTGCCACAAGCGAATCTCCTGAGTTTTGAAGTAAAAACACAACCGAATCATTCAGTGGATCCATATTTTTCATTAACCATTGGTCTAAAAATTCATATTTCAAATTTATAAAATTGATTGAATGAAATTCTTCTAGTTAAAATTTTAAGCTATTGCAAATCATGACTCTTCTCATACAAATTACCTGCAGCATAATCTACGCGGCCTGCATAGTGGATAATAGCGAAATCCGATTTCGTCCGGAATTCAGGTATAATAAATTTAGGATGTTTTGACTGATTGGCAATCAGTTTCTCCACATACGATTTATCAGTTGACTTCGGAAATATACACTGCTCGTCCAACAGTGACAAAACACCTAATGGCTGCAGGGAAACAGTTTATTTACTCGCTTTCCGAAATGTGTAACAGTAGAAAACATACTTTTCTCCGAAAATTGTCATCGTCTAAGTGATGGTTCTTTTAAATATATTTTTGAGTACAGGAAATTTTTTCATGAGCAAAAATAATTAATAATACTTTTTGCTTACTGTAACATATATAATTTATCTCTTCAAAATAATTTTTATGCAATAGTTTTCTAGATTACTTTGAAGCAACAACAAACTTTTTTACAAATGAGATAATCAAAATATCTTTAAATGTTACTTTTTCGATAAGATCGATAGTAGGCTGTAAATCAAGACCAAAATCAATAAAATTCCATTCAATTCCTTCCTTTCGATACATTTCTTGCTCCAAAATAAACATTGTATTA